TGAAATTTAGAGAAGGAAGTGGTCACCCCAACTTGACTCACCCTTTTGTGTGCAATGCAGGGCTAAAGTTTAGAGAGGGAAGTGGCTATGCCAAGTTCACTCACCCTTTTGTGATGCAGGGGTAAATTGCCATTTCAACTTGACTGACCCTTTTGTGGGCCATGCAGGGGTAAAAATTAAAGAAGGATGTTGCCCTTCCAAGTTGACTCACCCTTTGGTGAGCCACCCGAGGGTAAAATTTAGAGAAGGATGTTGCCATTTCAACTTGACTCACGCACTCACTTTTGCCGATTTGATCTTGATACTCACACCCTGCCTCTACACTTTTCGAACAGGAGGCCGATTCTACCACTCGATGTGTCTTACTCCTGTGCATAGATTTCCTGACTTTCGTTTGGCTCTGTATAATTCATTGCATGTTTTTTCCGAGCGCTCGTGGGGGGGAGGCGCTGCGCCCTCCCCCCCAACCCCCCTTCCGCGCAACGAAATCTGCAGATAGTATTCAACGTCCCTGCCATGAAATCAGGCTTTTAGTGGAACCTTGGTAAACCTTGCCCACCAAATCTGCAAATGCTATTCAAAAGTCTTGCGACGAAATCTGACTGTAAGCGGAACCTTGCCTGTTGAACATTAAAGCTGCTGTTATTCTAGACAAAAAGCCAATCAGCCAGGAACCAACAACTTAGTATGACACACAGGAAGATTTGAGCGGAAACTTGACTTTTAAAAACTAAAGCTGCTGCTGCTGTAAAAAAGAGGCCAGAAAGCCAGGAAGAGACAGGAAACGTGATTTAATCCCCCTCCCCCAACCCGCCCCTGTGCCACAAGATTCCTGCCACGAATTTCGACTCTGAGCGGAAACTGCCTGTTAGCCAGGAGGCCAGGCAGGAGGAAAGAGATTAGTATACAGGCCGACGCCCAGCCCAAAGAGGGTTCGTGGTAGAATTTTTTTTGATTAAGTAATTAGTTTTTTATTGACCCCCTTGAATATTTTTTTATTGATGCGATAAATAGTTTTTTTTGATACTTCACCCTCAGTTGACCAGTGAACATGAATGATGAGCAGGACAACCTACTAAGGAGCCTAGGATTTGGGGCCTCTGGGTTTCAGCCGTGTCGTGCTTTGTGGCAGATCGTGTTCCGACCCAGGTTGGCACCAGCATTGTGTGCCCCTGGACTCTCGAGGACCTTGAGTGCCGTCTCAAATCCGTGGGAGCCACCGGTCACCAATTTGATCGGTTTGTGTTGCATGGACGCGCTTGGATGTGAACCTGAAGGATGAACGAGTCCAAATCGGAAGCCCCAAACAGAGCTGCAGAATCAGGTCCACCAGGCATTCTGTGCCTCTTTGATTCATCCGGCGCTGAGCCGGCTCAGAAAAAGAAATCGAACCTATGCAACACGACACCCCATGCCTGACCCAAAACTACTACAGAAGATCTCCAATTGTTCCAGCTCCAAATCATCTCAGACTTGGCACCTCTACCAGGACCGTGTTTGGGAGCGTTTGCTGCGCGCCTTCCGCCAGCACCGGGCTGATGCCGATGGCGACACGAGCACCGGACACCGAGCGCGGAAGTTTTCGTTGGTGGCGGACCTGCCGGCAGCGTGGCTCACGCCTTCCGAGCCTTCAACGGAGCAGTGGGGTCGGGTGGACGGAAAGTGTGTGGCATAGGCGATCGGCGAAGACCTTCCGAAGGCATCGACCAAACAACAAAACGATAGCTAGCCGCTAGCCCGTCACTGCGCGGAAAATGGCGTGCGCGGCTTGAAGGAAGTATCATAGAAAGCAGAAGGTCCCCATTCATTTCTGCATCTTTGTTCTTTCCCTGCACTTCACCGAGAAAGCCGGTAGACCGTAGACCTTGTTCCGTCCAGGACATGCCCGCCCGCCCGGCCTTGCCTTCCGCCCTCAGGACGCGGAGCTGCGCGAGCGGACGCGCGTGCGCAGCCCCAGCTGCAACTCGGAGACCTCGACGAGCGCCTCAGAGGAGGAGGGCGACGCCAGGCGCGGGAGCGACACGACGAGCGATGGGCGGGCGAGGCCCGGGCGGGAGTCCCGATGGGAGGCGGTAAGAGGTGAAGGGAGCTGGGCAAAGGTCGCAGTGGGAGGGGTGTGGCAGCATGGCAGTGGGGGTGATGATGAGTTGTGGACTTCAGAAAGGATCTGGAACTTGGACTCGTTGTGAGTAGGATTGAGTAGGTGACAGCATGGCAAGGCACTCGCTCAAGCCCGGGCATCCAACGTTCTCGGCACAACTTTCAGTCGAAGGTAGGCAATCGACCTCAGTTGTTTGTCCTCCTGACAGCCAACATTTCAACCTTAAGCTGCTGCAGGCTGCGCCTTTCCATGCCAGGACATGGGCAAGCTTTCAATGGTTCTTTGTTGGTCTCCCTGAAATTTGAGGAACTGGTTATGATTGTTGAAATGCAGGGAGGAAGGGGGTGATACCGGCAGACACCAAAAGCTTCCAGTGATGTTCGAAAGAATCCAACCACATGCTGAGAGAAAGAAGTTGTGACTTGAGATTCCTGCGCATATCATCACTGATGCCTCATCCGCGAGTGAGTTTGTTTGGCCACCCCAGCTTTCTGTTCCTCACCCTCGGAAGGAAGGCCCGACTTGCGAGGGGCCTATCACGCGACATCAACCGCATCACCATTCCGCAAAAGGGTTGTTCCATGATCTCAGCATATGAGCCCTCAGAGTTTGGAAAACTAACTCGAATGGTCCGGTTATGACCACCAGTTGCCAGCTGGTGGAGCCGCATGAAGCCACACCAGGATCCTCTGCTGCCGTGGCCAGGGACCACCTACGCCAAGAGGCCGAGAAGGCTCCGGGGCTGAAGAGACGTCGTGGTGAGTTTGGAAGAGACAAGGCCAAAAAGGCCACCGAGTTGTGGTGGTCTGAGAATGAGACGAGCTGATTCAGATGGTAATATTATTCTTTTTGTCTGGAGGATTTCCTGAATAGGGGGTTCATCCATATGAATGGTGCGCATTCTGCAAAGTCATTTTCATGGTCACTCATTCAACGTGAACAATCAACACAAAACACATGGAAAAACACCGTGGAATGCAGGACCCGCCCGCGTGTGTCCGCACTCGCACGCCGTTGCCGCCCCAATTGCGCCTTTTGCTCGGTGCCCGGCCGCTTCTCCTGAGGCACTGTGGTGGGCCATCGGCTCCGCTGAGATCTCCAGCGCTTTGGTGTTTTAGTGTTTGTCGGTTTCGGAGTGCGGGCGGTTTGTTGGACAAGACTGTCACTGGCATGTCATTGAATGTGCGTCGACTTGGGTGTTCTTGTGGTACCTTTTGGCCGCCGGCATGGGGATTTCCGGAGAGGTCCATGGGTCCACAGGGCTGCTGGAGCAGTCCCAAATGTCGCCAGGCGAAGCCTGTCAGGACTTCATTTGCTTGGGGCCGCTTTCGGACAGGGACGGGCTCCAGACCTGTCAGTCGAGTCCAATTTGTTTGTTTTTTATACAATTTTACGCCACTGGTTGAAGGAGGGTGCGTCAGTGGCTAACTGGGTGGCACAAAAAGGTGGCATGACCAGGATACACTCCACGACCCATGACGCATCGGAGTCGGAGTGGGTTTTGTTCTGCCCCCGACCGCGACGTGAGGCGAACACCCTGTGGCCAAGGAGATGCTTGGCGGAAAAAGGGTCGGACGATGTCGGGGGGGATGTGTTTTTTCAATGTCAGCAGATGTCGGCAGAAAATGAAGGAGACCAAGTTGTCAAACTCTCCCAGTCTATCCGAGTGGTGAAAATCCAAGCGCTATTGCCGGGCAACCCGCTATCCCCAGGATGTATAAGCAAGCTACGAGCTGCAAATAGCTTCTTCGCGCTCTTGATGTGTGCCCAAATCCTTGGGTCTTGAAACGTCCGTTGCAGAGCTTGGAGGAACTGTTGGAGGGTAGACGTTTGCTGGTTTAAGCTAGATTGCTGCAGGAAGTTGGAACGAAGATTCTCCCATTTTCCCATGGTTCCCTGTGGTTTTTCTGTCATTGGTCCGTGGTTTTCCTGTTCTTCGCTCCCGTTCGCCGGTCGCTTGCTCGGTTCCCTCTTCGATTCCTGTCGGTGGTCCACGAGACGAGGCTGGTGGAGATCGCTGGGCAGAAAGCGCGCAGCGCCCTGTCCAAGCCCAGCAGCTTCGAGAATATGAGCC